CCCGCTGCAACTATTCCTGAGCCCGGGCCGGCCTCTTTGTGTCTTCTGTTTGAAACTCCTCTCTGCATCATGACCGTATTGTTCTAAAGAGAGACTAGTACTTTCAAGGACTATTCGGTCACTCTTCAACGGGTGTAGACGTCATGTATGCACGGTGGCATAACTGTTCGTTATGTGTGCTATCGACAAGGCTATTTTTGGGCAGGAACGCACAGGAATGGAGTTCCGGCTGGCTCCCAAGTTGGCCACGCCCAGCAGGAACTCATTAGCGTAATAGGCCACACCCAATAGCAGAAACTCATTAGGATTGGCTACATTAGGGGTGTGTGGCCTAGCATGCAAAGGAGTTCCTGCTCCAAAAAAAGCCCTGGGTTTTGACAACAAACAGAATAACAAGCAAAAGGTGGGTGTGGCTGGATAACGACACTTCTGGTAACATGGGGGTGCGGCCTAATGTGCTAATGAGCTGTGCTGTCAGGGGTGTGGCCCAATGTGCTAATGAGTTCCTGCTGGGCTTTTTCTACAAAAAGAGCCCTGGCTGTCGATAATTGTAATTGGAACGGTATAAGAAGATGGAAGTCTCTAGCGTTATTTGTACAGCGTGACAGATTATTCTGTTTGTTTGCAAACCTCCAGGTGGGTCCTGGGAGATCTCCTGGGATTACAACTGATATCCAGGTAACAGAGGACAGTTCCCCTGGGAAAAACGGCTGCTTTGGATGTTAGACTCAATGGCAATATACCTCACTGAAGTCCCTCCCCTCTTTGGGCTTCACCCCCTCCCAAATCTCCAGGTATTTTCCAACTTGGAAGTGGCAATCCCACCTGCCACCTAGCCGATTCCCTGCCTTAGTTCCAGACATCACGCCAAACTGATGGGCAGTAGGTTTAGGATGGATAAAAGGAAATACTACTTTACACCGAAAGTGATTAAACTGTGGCATTTGCTGCCAGAAGATATAACGATGGCCACAGGCACAGGTGGTTTTAAAAGGGGATGAGACAGGTTCACGGAGGAGAGGTCTACCAGTGGCTGCTAGCCATGGTGACTAGAAGGAACCTCCGCGTTCAGACGCAGTAAACCTCTGAGTCCCAGTGCTAGAAGATACTGCCAGTACCCCTCTGATGGCACTGGGTATTTATGGCCACTGTGTGACAGAGTGTTGGACCGGATGGGCTATTGTCCTGATCCAACATTGGCTTCTCTTATGTTCTTTGAAGGCAATATGATGGGAAAGCCTTGGCCTCTCTGCCCTGCTGTTGGCCCTCCAGAGGAACTGGCTGGCCCCTGTGTGAGATGGGAGGCTGGACTAGATGGACCCTCCCTGGCCTTATCCAGCAGGGCTCTTCTGAGGTTCTTATCAGGGGAAGGCCTCGGCCTCTCTGCCCTGTTGTTGGCCCTCCAGAGGAACTGGCTGGCCCCTGTGTGAGATGGGAGGCTGGACTAGATGGACCCTCCCTGGCCTTATCCAGCAGGGCTCTTCTGAGGTTCTTATCAGGGGAAGGCCTCGGCCTCTCTGCCCTGTTGTTGGCCCTCCAGAGGAACTGGCTGGCCCCTGTGTGAGACGGGAGGCTGGACTAGAGGGACCCTCCCTGGTCTGACCCAGCAGGGCTTTTCTGAGGTTCTTCTCAGGGGAAGGCCTCGGCCTCTGTGCCCTGTTGTTGGCCCTCCAGAGTAACTGGCTGGCCACTCTGTGAGACGGGACTCACTGTTCTGATCTAGCGGAGCCCTTCATATAAATAGGTAAGGGAGCTGCAAGAATGCAACAAAGCAGGGGCTTAAAAAGAAGGCCTGAGATGTCTGGCATCCCCTCGCAAGAGCTTCCTGTGCTCTTTGCCAGAGAGGAAAAGCCACTGGGTTCGCTAGGTTATCTTTGGCACGGCCTTTTATTACCAGCTCTCCCACTCAGCCTCACAACAAAGGAAGAACGGCCCCCGTTACCTATTCCGGACGATCCCAAGAAGAGGAAGACCAACGGGTGCTCTTCGTCGTACCAGCCATTTGCTTTTCTCCGGATGGCTGCAGTTGAAGCCCAACCAAAAAAACCACAAAAAAACAAAAGAAACAAAAGGAAAGGGGGTTATATATCTGGGCACATAAAAAAAAGGGGAAAGGCAAATAAATCAATGACACAACAGCAAGTATAATTATCACTAAGTATACACTCTGTTTTACTGTTCTCTGCCCACTCAAAGTCCTCGCTGCCATTAGAGCAACCTAATTTGATTAGCCGGCAAGGCCTCCAGAGACACCTAATCGGGTTAGCATGGATTTGGAGAGCTGCCCAGAGCAGATTTCGGATAAAGTTTTCCAGGATGCGCACTCAGGGTTGCCAAGGAAACGGAACGGAGGATGGACACTGAATGAACCAGAAAGGGACCCACTGGGTGGACTGGGAGGGAGATAAAGTGGGTGTGGGGGGGAATTCAAGAAGTGTCATTGCTCTCCGGGTTGTGGGCGCTACCTTTGCGGCACAAGAACCTGGCGAGGAGAAGTTGGCTACTTCTTTTACGCTGCCGGGAAGGAAGGTTTGAATTCAAGGTCACGGCAGCCTCGAACAGATGTGTGAGCGGCTGTGGACAGCGGTGCCTGGACATTAAGGGAGAATGCAGAGGGGGGGCAGCCAGGGGACACGGGATGGATTTTGGTAAACTAGATGCAACCAGTGTTCCCCCTAAGCTGAGTTAGCGTGAGCTGGCTCACAGGTTTTTAGCCTCCGGCTCACGTATTTTTGTCTCCGCTCAGGAAGGAGGGCTCCAGAGCAAACTCATTTATGCAGCAGCCAAATCATTCGCTCACAACTTTAATGCCAGGAGCTCACAAAGTAGAATTTTTGCTCACAGGACTCCACATCTTAGAGGGAGCACTGGATTATAGATAGGAACTCTCGGTCTGGGGCAAGGGATGCTCTGTATTCTTGGTGCTTGGGGGGGGCAACGGTGGGAGGGCTTCTAGTGTCCTGCCCCCACTGCTGGAGCTCCTGATGGCACTTCTGGTATTTCTGGCCACTGTGTGACAGAGTGCTGGACTGGATGGGGGCAACAGTGGGTGGGCTTCTAGTATCCTGGCCCCACTGCTGGACCTCCTGATGGCCCCTGGTATTTTTGGCCACTGTGTGACAGAATGTTGGACTGGATGGGCCGTTGGCCTGACCCAACATTGGCTTCTCTTATGTTCTCATAAGAGGAAACTGGATAAACATCTGAAGCAGAGGTCCATCAGTGACTATTAGCCACAAGGTATAGATAGGGACTCTCGGTCTGGGGCAAGGGATGCTCTGTATTCTTGGTGCTGGGGGGGGGGCAACGCCTCCGGCTCACGTATTTTTGTCTCCGCTCAGGAAGGAGGGCTCCAGAGCAAACTCATTTATGCAGCAGCCAAATCATTCGCTCACAACTTTAATGCCAGGAGCTCACAAAGTAGAATTTTTGCTCACAGGACTCCACATCTTAGAGGGAGCACTGGATTATAGATAGGAACTCTCGGTCTGGGGCAAGGGATGCTCTGTATTCTTGGTGCTTGGGGGGGGCAACGGTGGGAGGGCTTCTAGTGTCCTGCCCCCACTGCTGGAGCTCCTGATGGCACTTCTGGTATTTCTGGCCACTGTGTGACAGAGTGCTGGACTGGATGGGCCACTGGCCTGATCCAACACTGGCTTCTCTTAGGTTCTTATGATGCAACCCTCTCCCCAACAAACAAACAAACACGACTGTATGAGACAGTGGCGTGTGGCTGATATGGTTTTCTGCTGAGTTAGTCAGTGTTAAAGATACACAACACTGGCTTCTCTTAGGTTCTTATGATGCAACCCTCTCCCCAACAAACAAACAAACACGACTGTATGAGACAGTGGCGTGTGGCTGATATGGTTTTCTGCTGAGTTAGTCAGTGTTAAAGATACACACACTTGCGTTGTACTAAAATGATAACATGGACGAAAAGATTCTCTAACCGTAATACTTATTTATATTATTTATTTATTATATTTAGATCCCGCCCTCCTCGCGGACGGGCTCAGGGCGGCTCACATAAGCAGCACAGTATGGCTGGTCAACATAAACCATTTAAAACAATCATAGGTAAAGGTAAAGGTTCCCTTGCTCGAACGCCAGTCGAATCTGACTCTAGGGTTGTGGTGCTCATCTCCGTTTCAAAGCCGAAGACATGTGGCCGGCATGACTAAACACCGAGGCGCACGGAACGCTGTTACCTTCCCACCGAAGTGGTACCTCTTTATCTACTTGCTTGCAATTTCTTGCTTTCGAACTGCTAGGTTGGCTGGAGCTGGAACTAGAGACGGGAGCTCACTCCGTCTTGCGGCACCCAGGTCTCCAACTGCTGAACTACCGACCTTCCACAGCCTGCAGTTGAGCGTCTTAACCACTTGAGCTAGTAACATTTAAAATGCTACAATTATCCATCAGTAAGTTTAGGTAGCATACTAAAGATAACATACTAAATCCCCACTTAGTGGTCTTCTGGCCTTCCACGGCATTTTGGTCTGATCTCCATACAGGGCCAGTCCACTAACTACAAATATTGATGTAATAATGGTTGGTGCTGGTGGTGGGCGGCTCCTAGTTGAAGGCCTGGCGGAAGAGCTCCGTCTTACAGGCCCTGCGGAACTGTACAAGGTGCCACAGGGCCCTGATCTCCTCCGGGAGCCCATTCCACCAGTGAGGAGCCACCACTGAAAAGGCCCTGGCCTTGGTCGCAGCGAGCCTGGCATCCTTGGGGCCTGGAGTAATTAACCGGTGTTGTGACCCCAACCGTAGTGCTCTCTGGGGTATATATGGGGAAAGGCGGTCCCTCAGGTATTTCGGACCCTGGCCATATACGGCTTTAAAGGTGAGTACCAGAACCCTGAAGCGAATCCGCTATGCTATTGGCAGCCAGTGCAGGGCCTTCAGCGCAGGCCGGATGTGCTCCCATCTAGGGAGGCCCATCAGCAGCCTGGCCGCCGCATTCTGCACTAGCTGCAGCTTCCGGATTTGCGACAAGGGCAGCCCCATGTAGAGAGCATTGCAGTAGTCCAATCTCGAGGTGACCATCGCATGGATCACTGTAGCCCGGTCATCGCGGTCGAGGAAGGGAACCAACTGCCGAATCAGCCGGAGATGGCCCAAGGCTGACTTAGCAGTGGCTGCCCCCTGGGCCTCCATTGTTAGGGAGGGATCCAGGAGCACTCCCAAACTCCTCACCTCTGGCACTGGCACCAATGGCGCCCCGTCGAAGGTCGGGAGTAGGACCCCCATCCCTGAACCACCCCGGCTCAGGCACGGGACCGCCGTCTTCGCTGGGTTCAGCTTCAGCCGGCTCAGCCTCGGCCAACTAGCCACGTCCTGTAGTGCCCGGTCCCGATCTTCTGGAGTCAGTACTTGTGTACTGTACCCATGTAACTACCTGGCCGGGGGCAGCTCTTCATCACGTGGACAGGCTGCTTTTGCTGTTAACCCAATCAGTTCCCGTTGCTGCATGTCTAAGGACCTGACCGGGGCGTCCCAGGCTAGCCTGATCTCATCCCATCTCGGAAGCTAAGCTGGTTTGGCCTCGGTTAGTCCTTGGGTGGGCGACCCCCAAGGAAGTCCAAGGTTGCTGTGCAGAGGCAGGCAATGGCAAACCACCTCTGGCTGTCTTTTGCTCTGACCTGGATGGCCCCGGCTACCCTGATCTCTCCCCATCTCGGAAGCTAAGCAGGGTCAGTCCTGGCTGGTACTTGGATGGGAGACCACCAAGGAAGTCCAGGGTTGCTGCGCAGAGGCAGGCAATGGCAAATCCACCTCTGTGAGTCTCCTGCCTTGAAACCCCCTGCCCCCTACGAGGCTTCCTGGCCCCGTTTTCGGTCCGGTCCTCTTTTCTTCTGCCGCATCTCTTAGCTGTAGGCCTCTTCAAAGCACCTGGTGATGACCGCTTGCAACTCCCCCAAAGGAAGGCACGGAAAATGGAGCACGCGATGCTCACAGCTCACCTGCGGAGGCTGCTCTTTAAGATTCTGCACAGACCGGGCGGTGGCCAGAGGTCAGAGGGACCCGAGATGCAACATATTACGTCTGACAGACGCCCCGCTTGAAGGGAGGCAAAATGCCAAGGTTTAAAGGGATGACGGTGAAAAGCTCCCCCCCCCCCCCAAAAGAAGGGGGGAAAAATGGAAGTGGAAAGGCAAGGGATGGAAAACACAACGAGGGGCCCTTGAAGGACAGCTGCGCTCCTGCCGGAATACGGAGAACACTGGACGCTCCCGTGTTCCCTCTAAGCTGAGTGAGTGTGAGCTAGCTCACGGGCTTTTAGCCTCCAGCTCACAGATTTTTGTCTTCGCTCAGGAAGGATGGGGCTCCAGAGCAAACTAATTTATGCCGGAGCCAAATGGCTCGCTCGCAACTTCAATGCCAGTAGCTCACAACGTAGGATTTTTGCCCGCAGGACTCCACAGCTTAGAGGGAGCATTGCCCGTGACCGGCTGAGTCCGGAACAGGGCCGGGGAACGTTGTGAGACCGACCCTTCCGACGGTACAAGGATGAGGCCTGACGCCCAAATCGCGAGATGTCACAGTCCCCCTGCACTGAGCATCGGTAGGGCCGTCCCTGGAGGGTTGTGTGCAGTGCTGGAGGCGTCACTTTAAAAAAAGACGTGGACAGAACGGAGCGGGTGCAGAAGAGAGTGATGAGGATGATCGGGGGCCTGGAGACCAAGCCCTACGAGGAAAGGCTGAGGGACTTGGGAAGGTTCAGTCTGGAGAAGAGGAGGCGGGGTGGGGGGACGGATAGGACGGCTCTCTTGAAGCCTTTGAAAGGCTAAGATGGGTAGCCGTGTGAGTCTGTCTGAAGCAGCGGAAAAGAGCCAGAGTCCAGGAGCACCTTCAAGGCTAACAGAATTGGTGGCAGGGGAGGAGCTTTCGTGAGTCACGGCTCACTTCAGCAGATACAGCTAGAATGGGAGCCCATCTGTCCTTCAACCACAACTTGCAGTGTTCCCTCTAAGCCGAGTTAGTGTGAGCTAGCTCACAGTTTTTTAGCCCCCG